GTAAGCAATTCTGGGGCCCGCTTTGTACCTGTATTTTATGTTCTTAAATGATCTTCCTTGGATTTATAGCTTGCCGAACTTCTTTCTGGGCTCAGCTCCCCGTCTTTGACTTCATAGATTCTGATTCCAACCAGTTTTTCTTCCTTTGTTCAGGAGCCTCTCCCATCTTTAATACATCTTGAATTGATTTTTGTGTATGGTGAGAGATAAGGGTCTAGTTTCATTCTTCTGCCTAAGGCCATCCAGTTACTAGCACCATTTATTGAAAAGGGTATCCTTTCCCCATGTGTACTGTAGGCAGCTTTGTCAAAGATCAGTTGGCTGTAAAGCAAGGCTTTTCTGGGTCTTCTTTTATGTTCCATTGATCTGTGTGTCCATTTTCATACCAGTACCATGATATTCTGGTTACTTTAGCCTTGAAATATAATTTAAAGTCAGAGAATGTGACTTTGTTCTTTTTGCTCAGGGTTGCTTTGGCTATTTGGTCTCTTTTTTTTGTTCCACATGACGTTTAGGATTAATTTAAATGACATTGCTATTTGGATAGGGATTGCATCAAATCTATATGTTGCTTTGGACAATATGGTCATTTTTATGATATTAATAATAGGCAACTCTTAATTTTACTGTAGAGAAAACAATGTCACCCCCAACCATTTCTTCTTTCACTAAATCACTTACTTTTATTTTTCTATTGATCTTAAAAGATTTTAATCACTGCCACAGCTTTCCTGTGAGATCTGTTCTCATTCTCAATGTCTTTTTAAAGTTATAGAGTAGGGAGATAAATAATATTTTAGTAGAACACTGACCAATACCACAGAACAATGTATTTTATCATCCTTGTTCCCACCTAAATACTCATCCTCTCAAAATTACGACCTCGACCTTTCTCAGCAATGTGAACCTACAGAAATCCTTTGATTTTGAACTTTTTGTCCTGATTTCTGTCTTCAGGCTACTGATTTTAAGCCTATGTTTTATACTTCAAATGGGAGATAATGGAGTCATACAGCCCCAGCATTGGCAAGTGCTTGCTGGATAACTGAGTGCCTTCAGAGACATCCCTTTAAAGACTCCATCCAGCCTATTCTGGAAGCTTCCAGTGATCCAACTCGCCATTTCCCGTGTGGCAGGTTTTTCTTTGTTATCAGCTTGATTGCACGGTGCTCCCTTGTATTGACTTTCAGCAAACTACCCATAGTTTCCATCCACCACTTCTATTTTGGCCTTTGGGCTTGTGAAGAACAATTTGAACCCATGTAAGGCAAGACATCCCATTGGAAGGTGACGTTTTCTCTTAAGTTTCTCTTTCTCTAGGCTGACCTCTCTTTGCTCCTCAGTTCTTCAAATGACCTGATTTCATGTCTCCTCAGCATTCCAATGACCCTAATATACAGAGATGTTATTTTTTCTTATATATGCAGCATTCAGCAATGAGTATGACACTTCAGAGTTGAGTGAGAATAGAGTGGGAGTATCATTTCCCTTAACCCAGATATTATCATCTCATGAGCATATCTGGCAATGAAATGGTTGAAATACATGATGAAGGGCAATGTCTGGTCAGATATCGCTGTACTCATTTTTTACTTTTAGGTGTCCCTAAGCTTGTTAACTTACCATGTATGTAATAGATAAAATTCAGAGTCTCTGTTTAGCTGAAAACAAAAACAAACTTCTTTTCAGACCAAGATCTGAAGTCCTACTTAATAAAGAATGATCTTGGACAAATTCATTAATTTCTCTAAGTTAAAAAGTTTATTGAGAGAGCTAAATTAGTTGTAAATGTAAAGTGTTTAAAATATGTGGTAAGTGCTCAATACATGTTAGTGCTGATCATAATAACATTAATAACAATCTTTACTGTTATTATTGTTGAAGGAGTTTTGGGAAATGCTCATTTTAATACTGAACAAATAGGAAAGTTAGTGATTTCTCTATGTTTTTGAAGTGTCATTGAATATATATAATTTAGACCTATAAAAATTAAAGTTACTTTTTTTTTTTTTGCAGTTTTTGACTAGGGCTGGATTTGAACCAGCCACCTCTGTTATATGGGGCCGGCACCCTACTCCTTTGAGCCACAGGTGCTGCCCCAAAATTACATATTTTTAAAAGATTCATAACCACACATTTATTCAAATCTCTTGACAAATTAGAAGAAAATAGGACAAAGTTGTCTATGCTAGTTTTTCATCTTTATGGAGAAGTAAACAGGTGGTATGTTATCAAGAATGCTTATTTCCTAAGTCTTTAGTATTAATAATAGATATATTAGCTTTTTACCCACATCATAGCTTCCTTCATGTGAATACAAGAACTTCTGCTGGCAAATTTTGGAGAGATTAACTTTCTTTTAAAATATGCAAGCTTGGGTAAACTTTTATTGGTTAAATATTTGTTTTTTGCTGGTATATTTCAGCAACATAGCATGGCTTTTTTTCAGGTGAAGATGCTGAGCTGAAGCCTCCAAGGACCACAGCAAAAAGATTGGATTCCCTTTCTGTGCCCTGTTTTACAGTCTACTTTGGGGGAAGAAACTGTTTTCAACTATTTAAAAACTTTTATATTAGTAAAAGAGAAAGACCTTTATGAAATGCTTAAAACCAGATAAACTTCTTGAGGGACTTAGCTCAATTCCTGAACTTGATGAAGTATAGCTTATTAGAAGTGAGGGAATCATAAAAACTTTGAGGGTCTGGAGGCTGGAACCTTGCTGTGAACAGTCATTCTTCCTTAGTGTTGTTCATTAGGAGACCTACTTCAGTAATAAGGGTGTTTACTAAATGCTTTTAAAAAAAATTCTTTTAATTTGTTATTAAAACAATATTCATAGCAGAAGCAATATTTGATGCTAAACCATAGTTTTATTTATTTATTTATTTTAATTTATTGTTGGGGTTTCATTGAGGGTACAAGAAACCAGGTTTCACTGATGATGCTAAACCATATTTTAAGAATAAATAATTATCAAAATTCTGTTCTTTTATAACATCTATTATACACACACAAACACACACACACTCTACCTGGATGGAGTGTCAGAACCAGTCTCTTCTGTCTCACAAACCCTACTGTTAAATTTTCAGGAGTTTGGCAAGGCACTTAATATCAGACAAGTGGCTTGTGATTTGTTATCATGGCAGTATTTACACCATGGAAATTGGCAACTGCTGAAATCAGAGCCTTTTTTTTTCTCTAGGAGAGCCAGTTGTTAAACACTTAAAAGCTCACCTGTGCCTGCAAGTATTTCTTTAAATAAAATAAAGGCCTATTAGCTCTGAACGATGGTTTTTGAATGAAAGGTTACATGGGGAAAAAAAATAAACTAATTGTGCTTTTTCCCCCCCTGTGTTTTCAGGGATACGGAAAGACCGAAGAGGAGGGAGAATGTTGAAACACAAACGCCAAAGAGATGATGGGGAAGGCAGGAATGAAGCAGGGCCCTCTGGAGACATGAGGGGTGCTAACCTTTGGCCAAGCCCTCTCTTGATAAAGCACACGAAGAAGAACAGTCCGGCCTTGTCCCTGACAGCTGAACAGATGGTCAGTGCCTTGTTGGAGGCTGAGCCCCCCATACTCTATTCCGAGTACGATCCTGCAAGACCTTTAAGTGAGGCCTCCATCATGGGCTTGCTGACTAACCTGGCAGACAGGGAGCTGGTTCACATGATCAATTGGGCAAAGAGGGTGCCAGGTAAGAATACCTAAGCTCAACTTTTATTTTAAGAGTCAAAAACTATTCAAGAACTGGTTGCAATGTCATGGAAGAGATAGTGAGGGTAGGGAAGGGAAGAAATAATAGCTCCTTATCTATTTGGTTTCAAGGTTATATCAGAATTTGTTCATTTTCAGTATTGATACACTGTAATTCTCCTGGAGATTTCAAAACTAATATCTTAAAATCAAACTGTAGAAGACTAAAATTCTTAAATTGATGTATTTATTTTTAACCCACCTTGTTCACCAAAAAGATTTGAGGTGGATGCTACATGATAAAAATATTTAATAGTAAATGTTCACAAGGACAGAAGCTTTTAACACTAAACAATCTACAAAAGTTTTTAAAATTAAAGAATTGTATTCAAAATGCCTCATTATTAAGGAATAATTTTATTTAAAAAAATTTTAAAGAAATCTTTATGGATTAAAAAGATAGTAATAGGTTTATTTATTGAATTTCCATTATTTATCCAACCTGGTTTATGCTTAGTATTTTATGAGAAAGGGAAATACAATAGAAAAATAAATTGGGGACATAATGGCTGAAATGACACTGGCTCTTCAGTAGATTCTCTCGGCAAAGCTTGACTGTTGCTCTTGTTCAGAGAGAAAAACTCTAGATATTATGGAAAAAAGACTAGAAAGTGACCTCCTCCCTGACTCAGTATATCTATTCAAGAGCAAATATAGATAAACCAAGGCAAAAGCAAGTTAATTGTTTTTTTCTGGGCTCATAGATAAAATGAGTGATGGATTTAGATAGTAGTTTTCTATTTTGGTTTCATATATAAAAGTAATTATTACCTATGAAGTGTGGAATGTTTTTAATGAAACAAAAAGAAAATGAGGAGTCTTTCGCTTCCATTTCAAAGGTCACTGATACATCATAGGCCAAGTGAACATATGTTTGGCCTTGGAGACTCTTAACCTGTATTTGCTTGTCTCAGTCTATAAACATGCAATCCTTTGAATAAGGAGCTCATGGTACTGTGGCCCACACTTGTTAGAGGTCGTCTATGTAGGTGTTTGGGTGGTAGAATTAGGTTCCATGGAAGGATGAGAGTAAAGGGCAAACTTAGGTTTTCAGGGTCTGTCCAACTGGCCAACAAAAGCCTATCGCCATCTTTGAATTAAGAATCTGATAGAGCACCCACATATTTTGGCATTCTAATGTGAAGCAGATACATTATAAATCAACACTGCAATTCAAATGTAATGTGGCTGTAGGTTTTTTTCTTTTATCTTTATATTTGTTATTGCCTTATTTTTCTGTTTTGGGAAAAGAGGAGCAAACAATAGAAAAGGAATAGTCAAATCCCTGAGAGCTGGCTCTTTGTTGCTTTTAAGTTTCATTGTCCTTATAAACACATATTTCCCTTCATTTAATCTTGGTAATGTTAGTTCCAGAGCACTGCTGAACTCAAGTGTGTATTTTTCATACTTATCAGTAGATTCCCATCATGACATTTTTATAATTATAAAATTTTGAAGAGCATTTGAAACAACTGGAATTAAGATCAGATATATTACCAATGGATGAAGAACTCATGGTAATAATTTTCTAAATTTAGGATTAAAATGGAGAAACCAAGGGAAGGAAAATATTGTGCTCATGCTTAGCTATTTATTGTTAAAACAGAACTAACCAAATTTTTGGTAATGAGATGTGTTGAAAAACTACTCTATTTATTATGTTAATTTTAAAAGGTCTGTATGATTTTGAAGTTCTTGAACTAAACTCTATCATGTTGCTTGATCAGTTTTTAAGAAAAAGAATTATAAAGGCAAAAAATGACATGGTGTGAGTGTGTGTGTGTGTGTGCACGCACGTGTGTGCCACTGGAATGGAATACAGCTGTTGTATTCCAAGTCTACTTGCCTGACCAAGCAGAATAAAAATAATCATTGCTTTAAAAAAGATGAAGAATGAGGGAAGAAAAAAGTCTTTTGGAAAAACTCTGAAGATAGCTGTCAAGCTTTTCAGGAAAATTGGCAAAGCTATATTTTGAAAAGCGTTTATATTCTTCATATATCCAAATCCATCTGTCATTTAAAAAATAGCCCACATTGAAAATCTAATTTAGACAATGTTGCATTTATGTGGTCACAGTTCAAGGATAATAATAATAGTAATTTAAAAAGAGGAAATAGATAACATCATTAGTAAGAAGAATAGCAAGGAAGCCAGTTCTAGAAGCACATGGATGTAGCCATGTGATAATAAAACTCTGCGTGGGACATTTGGATAATCCTCAGAATGGTTATCAATATAACAAATTGTGAATTGACTTCATTTTGTATGATGAATTTTAACAAAAATAATCAACATTTGGGTCATTTTAGCAGCTCAAAGTGTTTTCTTTAATAACTAACAGAATGTTGTCATAATTTTCAAATGTCTGTGATTATAAGTTGAATTTTCCTTTCTCTTAACATCTGGGGCATATTTTTTTGACTTGACATAGCTCTCTATTCAGAATTAAGACAAGAAGAATGTTAGGATAAAATGCATCATGAGTGTGTTAGTCAAGTTCTACTTTGTAAAGTACTTCTAGTAGATCTGGCTAAAGATGACATCAATAAATTAATTTGTTCTCTTTGCAATTTAAAAATAACAGCAGTGGCAAGAATGATAAAACCTACCGATTCTGCTCTGACAAGGGATGGGTTTTAATAACACAGGGTGTCTGTCTGCTTTTTGATATCTTGCTATAGAAAGGGCTTTTTTAAATTGCTTGCTCTGAAATTTGTTAGTCTGTAGTGGACATTTTATAGTGTATCCATGGGTAAAGATTTAGTTTTAAAAGAATCTGATTATTAAATCTTAATTTATTATCATCCTAAACATGGCAAAATGAGTTAATACATGTAATGTCATTTGGTTGAAGGTCAAAGAAGGGGAAATATGACTTCAAAAGCTGCTGTACTTTTGATTTCTGCATCATACTCAGTTGCATCATTGCCTGGTTGATTCTTAATTTTCGTGTTAATGAAGCACATCTGATTTTTTTCTAGAAGCTTGACTTGTACCACCAAACTATCATTCTGATTTCTTATAAATTAAGTCCTTTCCAAGATTCACCATCATTTTACATCAAATTTGTTCTCTAGTTCTATATATGTAATGAATATTTTGATGGATGTCTAGCTCTGGGATTTTTATTGCCTTTTGAACACTGTAACTAGAAGTGTGACAGTCTCATGAACCACTGGATCCAGACATGGGAGAGTGCATTGAAGGTGCAGCCCAGGAAGGGGAAGACAGGAAAGGTGGCACGTAACACCCTAACCACTTCCTTATTCTTTCAGTGTCCAATTCGTGGTCTTTCTCCTTTTCCTTTCCTGCTATGTCCTTCTCGTCTCATCACTAAAGGACGCCCTCTTTTTTCTAAGGCCTGATTCTTCTTACTCATATTTGGGCCCAGATGTAGGGGATCCACTTTTTCTGAACATGCCTCCCTCTAGCCCTGAGCTCAGGTTTCTCAGAAGCTTATGGACAGCTTACTTTTGTAAGGGATGAGAGACATCCCGAGGAGTGGGCAGATGTGGGTGCTAAGGACTTTAATAGGCATCAGTTGTCTATAGGCAAGCCAGTTTCACTTAGTGTCACTGGAAACTTAAAGTGGATAGGGACTAGGGGACAGGTGTGGGTACAACACCTCCATCGGAGAATTGGCAGGATCTTCACATTCTATTCTGGAGTTTCCTGAAGATTCCAGGGAATTTGGCAGGGCTACCCAGTACTCTGCTTCCTAACCCATAACCAAGTGAGTGGACTCTGCTCTCAGGCTGTTGTGTTCCAGCCTGCTTTGGCACGGCACAGTGATCAAAGATGACATGACTCTATGGGTACGTCCTGTGGAGGTGACAGATGCATATGTTCAAGCAAGAGTTGCAGTTTAGATTTTGCAACTGTGGTATGATGAAGACCCTGGGACTAGGCTGGAACCTTCTTACCGCCTGACTGTCCACTGCTCCTGTGGAAGCTCTGAGTGGAACCCAAGAAAACAGGTGCTTACTTGACTTTTCCTTTACATGAAATTTTGACTGATGCTTATTGGCCCGTATATTTAATAAACCTTTAAATATATATATTTATACATATATATATATATATGGTTTTTTTTAAAATTTCATTTTGAAAGTATTTGAGAATAATGCCTGATCTGGGCCTGTTTGCTCCTCAGAGTTCAGTGTCAGTGAGTCTGGGTCAGGGTCCCAGCATCTGCATGTTTAGCCTGCACACAGCAGACTCATGGTGCTGAGTGCCCCAGGCCGCCCCATGGGGGAGTGTTAGCTTGTGGCTCTGCTACTTCCAGTGGGGTTTGGCATGGAGAATGTCATTTTCTTATTGCTAGCTTGTGTGCCAGAAAGATGTATTACTGTTCAAGTGTGTTATGAAGTGTGGTATCCCCTCAAAAAGACAAGTTAAATTTCCAACCCCCAGTACCTCAGAATGTAATCTCATTTGGAAGTAGGGTCTTTAAATAAGGAACAAAGTTCAAATGAGGTCATTAGCACAAGCCCTGGTCCAGTAAGGACTGGAGTTCTTATTAAAGAGGAAATTTTGACATGAAACTGGATGTATGCAGAGAGATAATGAAGCAAAGACTCAGGGAGAAGACAGTCCTGCGACTGGAGTGATGACCCCACAAGCCAAGGATGCCAAGGTTTGCCAGTCGACACTGGAAGTTGGAGGAGGCGAGGGTGAGCTCTTCCTTAGAACCTCAGAGAGCCGGTGGCTTCACTTACACCTTCACTTCAGACTTCTAGATACATTTCAAAGCCACCTGGTTTTCTATACTTTGTATCAAAGTAGGAAACTAACACAAAGTGTATTAAAAGTAAATATTTTTGTAATGCACTTTTGAGACAAAAGAAATAAGAGGCTATTGATTTAAAGAGGAAGGTTTGACTCATCTCAGTAGGCCTGGCTAATCATTTACTCTGGTACACTTCCTCCTCTGCCCACCC